GAACATGTCCCACCCGCTCAGCAACAAGATGTTCTGCATGAAGGACCAGAACGAACCTTCAGGCAGGACGCTGACCGTTCTCTCCGAGAACAAAACTCAGCCGTTGGTGGGTCAGAACATCATCACCTCCGGTCCAAACAGAACCTCAGGGACCCAAAATATTCAGTCTCTGAACAGAACCCAGGTTCACCACAACGCCACTTCAAAGAGCCAACACCAGGAGAGGCCACGTGACGGCCAGAGGAGGTCAAAGGTCAGCAGGCTGTGTGGTGGCTGGCTGCCAGGTTCATCGGTCGCTTCGGTGGAGAAAGGAACCGGATTTCTGACCGGACTGCTGATCTCATCGTCCTCAGGATGTGACGGTCACGTGTTCACCAAAGTGTCCCGTTACCTGAACTGGATCAGACCGAAACTCCTGGCAGCAGAGGATCACATGACCCTCCAGATCAGCCAGTACACAGAGGAACTCGTCAGCCAACCCAATACGGTTTTCTGAGCACTGACATTTGAACTTGTACTGCTGAGCTACAGAAACACCAGGTATTCATAGTATTTACTGTTAAAATGAATCTAAACTGTGTAGGGGTCACCCCGAGGGGGAATAAACATTTCCACCTTTCTTTGACCCTGGTCTCAGAAGACTTCCCTCAAAAGAGACATTTTATTTTCTTTAATCAAGATAAACAAAATAAAATATAAAGTTTCAATAAAACTATTAAAACAGTAATATCTGTTCTCATGTTTGAAGAAAAACAGTTAAAAACTCACTTTAAAAAACACAAAATGCTTTATTTCACAAGATTTTTACAATTAAAAAAGAACTGGAAAGAAAATGGTTCCATGAAGGCCTGTTAGCCCATAGGGATTGTGGGTAATATAGTCTATGAGACAGAGGACAGAGGAGGGAATGGGTTTTGTTTACTGACCACGAGCTTCTGGTGCTGATGGGAGATGTAACCTTTAATGTGACCCTGAAAACACAGAAGAAGAATCAGCGGGTGTCCACCTGGCTCCAGGTGTGGTTTTACCTGACAAGCTCACCATGTAGATGAGATTGGCCAAGATGCACTGCACCTCGTCGATGTCCACGTCCTCCACCTGCATCATCTTCAGAGACACCAGGAAGGCGTCCAGAGGCATCTGGTGGGTCTTCAACAGCAGATACCTGCAGACAGTCAGAGACTAGTGAGGCCCTTTGGAAGACTGACTTAGTTGGTTCCACATAAACCTGGCTAATTGGGAAACCTGGTTAGTTGTTAGAACTGGTCAGTTGGTAAACCTGGTTAGTTGTAAGAACTGGCTACATATTAAATCTGGTTAGTTGGTAAACCTGGTCAGTTGGTAAACTTGGTTAGTTTTAGAACTGGTTAGTTAATAAATCTGATTAGTTTGTAAACCTGATCAGTTGGTAAACCTGGTTAGTTTTTAGAACTGGATAGTTGGTAAACCTGATCAGTTGTTAGAACTGGTTATATATTAAATCTGGTCAGTTGGTAAACTTGCTTAGTTGTTAGAACTGGTTAGTTAATAAATCTGATTAGTTTGTAAACCTGATCAGTTGGTAAACCTGGTTAGTTTTTAGAAATGGTTAGTTGGTAAACCTGGTTAGTTGTTAGAAGTGGTCAGTTGGTAAACCTGGTTAATTGTTAGAACTGGTTACATAC